AATTTGGAATTGAATTTGACCGAGGCGGAATTGAATTTGATCGAGGCGGAATTGAATTTGATCGAGGCGGAATTGAATTTGACCGAGGCGGAATTGAATTTGATCGAGGCGGAATTGAATTTGGCTGAGGCGGAATTGAATTTGACCGAGGCGGTATTGATGGTTGGGTCTGTGGAGGTCGAGTCGGTTGTCGAGTTGGTTGTTGTCGAGTTTGAGTTGGATGTTCTTGTGGTGGTTGTTGAGTTGGTTGTCGAGTTGGTTGTCGAATTGGTTGCCGAGTTGGTTGTCGAATTGGTTGCTGTTGAGTTGGTTGTCGAGTTGGTTGTCGAATTGGTTGCTGTTGAGTTGGTTGTTGTTGTGGTGGTGGTCGAGGTTGTTGTCGAGTTGGTTGCGGTTGTGGTTGAGGTTGTTGTTGTCGAGTTGGCTGCGTTGTGGTTGAGGTTGTGTGACTGGATTGAACGTTAAAATGTTAATATGCACGTAGTAGCAGGGATGGTAAATGACCTTATGACCTTCAAATGACCTCAAATGACACCAATCTTATTATGAATTTTAGTCCAAAATAACCTAGGTCATTTGAAAAAAAAGGCAAATGACCTCTAATTTTACCATCCCTGCGTAGTAGCTAATATTGTGGTCAAGAAGTTGAGATGCATGTATACCTGCAAATTTTATGAAAATTGTCGTAATGAGTAATAACATTACAATGTGAGTCCGGCTACAAAATAATTTGGGTCTCATTTTTATTTTATTTTATTGGTGTTTTAAGAAAAAAAAATACGCAAATTAAGAAAATTCTAATGCAAGTAATTTTTTTGTATGAATAATAACTATTTTCGTGAAAGAGTTTTCTTTTATATTCGTTAAATAATTTCGAATATTTGATTGAATTATTCAAATGACCGTCCTATTTGAGAATTTCTTATCAAATCACGGCAAATTTTGTTGAAAATTTCTGTGATTGTGGCCACCTTTCTCATGAGTTATCCATTTTTAAAAGTAATTGTGGCCCTCTATTAGTCAATGAAGATATCTCAAAAAAATCTCGGTCTATTTTTAGCCGGAAATACTGAATGTTTGTTTAAGGAAAATCTTCGGTCATGCCAAGAATCCGTAATTTTTAATTATAACGTGTTAAAAACCAAATGTTCATCGATTGTAACATGATTAATAGATTCAATCTTAAGTTTTATACTTAATATGATGTTTAGTATTAGCGTTAGTAATCCAAACTTAAATATGTCGAATATAAAATTCATGAAATCTTAAAAAAAAACGATGATACGTATATAAGGTAGATATACCTAATTTGACGCAGTTCCTAATTTGACTGTCGATCAGAATTGCATGATTCTGGTACTATTCGATTCGTCTCATCGAGACGAATCGAACGGTACCAAAATCCTGTGATTCTGATCGATAGTTCTCGAGATACTCCATTTAACCAAAATAGCACAAGGAAGATATGCCTTATTTGACGGTAAGTGCATCGATCAGAATCGCAAGATTTTGGTATCATTCGATTCGTCTCAAACGAGTGGTGATCGATACATCACATGATACTTATCGTAAACGTTTACCTGCGTCAATATCAAATTAGGAACATATTTTTTTAGACAACCTTTAATAAGTAATTTAGCGATTAGAATTGGATGATTTTGGTACCATTCGATGAGACGAATCGAATGATACTAAAATCAACCAGTTTTGAACGATATATCATGTGATATTTATCGAAAACGTTACCTGCGTCAAAATAGTCGAATTGATTACAGCACTTTTCAAATTAGTAATACCACCAAAATTTCATGCACCATGTATAATCTGGATCAGGGACACGCAAAAATTTAGACATTAGGCCGCGCAAACAAATAAAATTGTTTCTCGTTACCCGGCCGGGTATCTTTTTTAGA